CTAGCCTTGAGCTGAAGAGCTGAGGGACAGCGCCCAGGCCCAGAGTTCAGACCCCACGACCGGACCCAAAAAAAAAAAAAGAAAAAAGGGAGAAGAAAGTCCTGGAAGCAATCTCCAGAGATACTGAGGGACAACTGTATATACCTTGTTTTCTTTTTTTTTGGGGGGGGTCCGGTCATGGGGCCTGAACTCTGGGCCTGGGTGCTGTCCCTCAGCTCTTCAGCTTTAGGCTAGCACTCTACCACTTGAGCCACAGTGCCATTTCTGGCTTTTTTCTTATGTGGTACTGAGGAATCGAACCCAGGGCCTTGAGCATGCAAGGCAAGTGCTCTACCACTGAGCCACCTTCCCAGCACCATATACCTTGTTTTCTTGTGGCTAGTTCAATAGTAATAAAGGGACTTTGTGTAGCCTGTCTGTGGGAGACCAGGAATAAGTAAACATAGCTTTGTGAACATACCAAATTTTTCTGATGTTTCTTTATCAGGGAAGTATTGCAGATTAAGATTTAGTATCTTCAGGGAAGTAAAATTTGGCAAACTGGTGACTAAAGAAGAAAAATGAAAATTTAGTTATGATGGATACATGTGTTGTAACGAAGAGTAACATTTTTTTAACAGTCTTGTAAAAATGACTAAAATTCACAGTGAATTTCATTACACAGGGAAACATTTTTGCTAAGAAAATTAGAAAACTAAAAATATTTAACGTTATAAAGAATTCATTGGCTGGACACTGGTGATTCACGCCTATAATCCTAGCTACTAAGGAGGCTGAGATCTGAGGATCACAGTTCAAAGCCAGCCTGGGCAGCAAAGTCCATGAAATTCCTTTTTTTTGGTCATGGGGCTTGAACTCTGGGCCTGGGTGCTGTCCTTTTTAGCTCTTCATCTCAAGGCGAGAGCTCTACCACTTGAGCCACAGCGCCACTTCTGGTTTTCTGGTGGTTAATTGGAGATAAAAGTCTCACAAACTTTCCTGCCTGGACTGGCTTCGAACCATGATCTCAGATCTCAGCCTCATATTTCAGCCTCCTGAATAGCTAGGACTACAGGTGTGAGCCACTGGCGCCTGGCTAAAGAACCTTTTTTTTTTTGGTGGGGCCAGTCGTGGGACCTGAACTCTGGGCCTGGGCGCTGTCCCTCAGCTCTTCAGCTCAAGGCTAGCACTCTACCACATGAGTCACAGCCCACTTCCAGTTTTTTCTGTTTATGTGGTGCTGAGGAATCACACCCAGGGCCTCAGGCATGCAAGGCAAGCACTCTACCACTGAGCCATCTTCCCAGCCCCATGAGACTTTTTAATCTCCAATTAATCAGCAAAAAGTAAAAGTTCTTTGACCATAATTGGTTTTTTGCTGCCAGTCCTGAGGTTTGAACTCAAGACCAGGGCACTGTCCCTGAGATTTTATTTTTTTATTTTTGTTGGTCATGGGGCTTGAACTCTGGATCTAGGCTCTGTCCCTGAGCTTTTATGTTCAAGGCTAGCACTCTACCAATTTCAGCCACAGTTTCACTTCCAGTTTTTAGGTAGTTAATTGGGAGAGGAGTCTCGTAGACTTTCTTGCCTGGTGTGGCTTTGAACCATGAGCCTCAGATCTCAGCCTCCTGAGTAACTAGGATTACACCAACACCTGGCTGTCCCTAAACTTTTTATACTCAAGGCTAACACTCTACTACTTGAACCACAGCTCCACTTCTGTCCTTTTTCTTTTCTTTTTTTTTTGTGGGGGGATCCGGTCGTGGGGCCTAAACTCTGGGCCTGGGTGCTGTCCCTCAGCTCTTCAGTTCAAGGCTAGCGCTCTACCACTTGAGCCACAGCACCACTTCCAGCTTTTTTCTTTTTGCTTATGTGGTGCTGAGGAATCGAACCCAGGGCCTCAGGCATGCAAGGCAAGCGCTCTACCACTGAGCCACCTTCCCAGCCCCTGTCCTTTTTCTTTATGGTAGTTAATTGGAGAAAAGAGTCTCTCAGAATTTTCCTGTGTGGGCTGACTTTGAACTGGGATCCTCAGATCTCAGCCTCCTGAGTAGCTAGGATTACAGGCATGATCCACCAGCGCCTGGCTATATCTGTCTCTTGAGTAGCTAGGATTATAGACATAAATGAGCACCTGGCAACAAGTGGTCGCCAGGCTTGAACTCTGGACCTGGGTGCTGTCCCTCAACTCTTTAGCTCAAAGCAAGTGCTCTACCATTGAGCCACAGCACCACTTCCAGTTCTTTGGTAGTTAATTGAAGATAAGAGACTCACGAACTTTCCTTACCCAGGCTGGCTTTGAACCAGGATCCTCAAATCTTAGCTCCTCAGTAGCTAGGATTACAGGTGTGAGCCACTGGTGCCCAGCAATAATTGCATTTTTATTTATTTTATTTATTTTTGTGCCATTATGGGGATTGAACTCAAAGCCCTGTGTTCTCATTCAGCTTTTTTGCCTATGGCTGCGCTCTACCACTTAAGTCGCATCTCTAGGCTGGGCTTTTTTGCTAAATTGGAGGTAAGAGTGGCAGACTTGCTTTTGGGCTTTCTTTTCACTAAGATCCCCAGGTCTCAACTACTGAGTAACTAAGATTATAGTCATAGGTGTGAGCAAGTAGTATCCAGCAACAATTTCATTTCTGAATGTTCATTCTTTTTAGATTACTTGATATGACTTTGTTCACAGGAGCATCTTAAATCAAAATTTTAACATTACATTTCTTACCAAATGGGGTGACTTCAAAACATCGTCCAGAAAACTGAATTTCTTCAAGTTTCTTGCATGAAACAAGTGCATTCATAAGAGACTCAAAGTCCAAGACATAGCATTTCAAGTAGAAAACACGAAGGTCTGGAGAATTCTGAATCAATTTGACTATAAAACATGAGGACATTTGGATAATAGAGAAGATTGTAAATTTCTATCAAAATGTACTCATTTATTTTCCCACCAGCAATACAAGTATAAACAAGGCACCATAAATGTAATGAACTAAAGAATCATGCTATTTTGGGGGTATGTTCAGGTTCTAAAACTAAAAAAAGAGCAACATGAGTTTGGATAAATTCCTGACCCTCTCTGGGATCAGTTTTTTCTTCTATAAACGAAGGGTTCAGTAAAGTCATCCTTAGCTTTAACAATGCGTCTGTGTTGGTACTTTGTATTTGGAGACTAGGAATGCTATGAAAGGACAAAGGGCATGGCTCAAAACTAGCAAGCTTAGATCTTGAGTTTGATTCTAATATTTAAACAAATGTATCAGGGCTGGGAAGGTGGCTCAGTGGTAGAGC